TTAAAAGAGATATTGCTAACTTCTCACATATTGACCTCACTAACCTAGATAAGCCATTAAGAAATCAGGAGATAAGAAAAGCTGTGTTTTCGTTTAAACCTTACAAGGCCCCAGGCCCCGATGGGTTACACCCATTCTTTTTCCAAAAGTTTTGGCACATTCTAGGAAGTAAGGTCATCAATCTGTGTCAACAAATTTTTTCCACCTCAGTTATGCCCCATGATATTAACAAAATCTATCTTTGCCTAATCCCTAAAATTAATAATGCTAATAGCTTGAAGAATTTTAGGCCAATAAGTCTTTGTAACACGATTTATAAGGTGGTTACTAAAGTCATTGCCAATAGAATCAAGCCCTTTTTCAATCAACTCATCAATATATAACAAGCTAGCTTCCTAAAAGATAGAAGAGCTAGTGATAATGCTATTATTATTCAAGAAGTTTTAAAGAAGTTTAATTTAGCCAAAGGAAAGGAAAACTTTTTACTAAGCTTGATTTGGAAAAAACATTCGATAAATTAGAATGGTCTTATATCTATCGGACGCTTAAATTTTTTAAATTCCCTCAAAAAATTTCAGCCCTCATCCTTAGATGTATTACCACAAGTACTATTTCTATCTTGGTTAATGGTAACAAAACTAAAGAATTCACTCCCACAAGAGGTATTAGACAAGGGGATCCCATGTCACCTTACATATTCATACAATGCATGGATATGCTTTCAAAGAATATTAACAACCAAGTAGATACTAGTAATTGGGTGCCTATAAAGCTCAATCCTAGGTACCCCCCCCCCCCCTATCTCATTTGTTTTTTGCTGACGACCTAACCCTTATAGGTGAAGCCAACACAAAAATAATTACTACTATTTGCAAAAGTATGGAGAGTTTTTGTTACATATCTGGTTTGAATATCAACAAAGAAAAATCAAAATTGATCATGTCAAAGAGTTGTAATCAACACAAGAGAGATCTGGCTACTAAGACTTTTGGGATAACCATTAGCAAGACCTTCGGTACATATCTAGGTTTCCCAATGCTAAACAACTACCCTAGGCACAAGGACTATCAGCCCTTACTTGATAAAATCCGAGCTAAATTAAACAATTGGAATGCTAGATGGTTAAGTATGGCGGGCAGGTGCACATTAATAGCATCAACCCTAAATACAATTCTAAATCACCTAATGCAAATAAGTTACCACCTACCAAAACCCTAAAAAAATAGACAAAATCTAAAGAGATTTCCTATGGGGGACTACTAGGGAAAAGAAAAAAATCCACCTAATTGGATGGAATATGGTTACCATCAAAGATCAATGGTGGATTAGGTATTAAGAAAGCAAAATCCAAAAACATGGCCCTCTTAACCAGCTTGGCATGGAGGATCCTTACTAATCCATCCTCCATTTGGGCTCAAATTCTTATTAGCATTTACGGGAAGAGTAAGAGAACAAATGGTTGTTCAAACACCTGGAAAAGTCTCCTCACAGGATGGACTGTTTGTAATAAGGGTATTAGATAGCAAGTAGGCAGACAATCACATATGAACGTCTGGGACACAAACTGAATTCCTAATATTATAAGTCTTCGTAATAATATTTTAGGACCATTAACTCTTAATGAAGAGAGCTTAACTATTAAAGATATTTGGGATAATAAGGGTTGGAATTTAAGGAAAATCTCCATTGATATCCCTAAAATTATTATAAACAGTATTAATGCTTTAAATCCCAAATGCCACATCAATCCCCCTAACAATCTCATTTTTGGAGTCTTAACCCTAGTGGTATATTTTCAACAGCCTCTTGCTACAAGCTAATTGATGAGCAAACACCTCATAGTCTCAATTTTAAGTGGATCTGGGACCTGAAGTGTCCTAACAAGATCAAAATATTTTTATAAAAATTCTATCACAGAAGACTTCCTACGATAGGCTACCTAGCCAAAATTGGTGTTAATATAAACCCTAACCGCCCAATATGCAAAGACACCACTGAGTCTATATGCCATATCTTCTAAGAATGTACAGTTTCTCAATCCTTTTGGTAATCAATGGGAGTGACCATTAACAGCCAGGTGCATACTAATAATTGAATTGAATT